AATATATAATATCACATTAATTATATTTATAATAATTATTTGACCGTTTGAATAGAATATTTTTTTCTTTCCTTACAATATTATTATAATATTATATTTATACGCGAGAGTGGATTGAAAAGTTATAAACCTTATTCTTTTTTTCAAAGTTTTGAAATTATGTTGAAAAATGAAAGTGAATATTCTAATTTTTAGGCTCAAAACTTGTCGACACATTCATTTGAATATATATATTAATATTTTTCATTTATATATAACTATTATATTATATATAATAATCTATCTGATTTAATAAACTGTTTTTGTTTTCATAACATATTGTTGATTGTAATATTTTCAATGATGATTTTCTCTCTTTTTTTCTCATTCACTCTCTTTTGCAATATTCATCACAATTTCATTACAGCTGTCTATAAAGTATAAATACGTGTCCGATTGTTTAATGCACTCATACATTGAATGTATAATACATATACAAGTATATAATACGTACTAGTATATAAACGGTGAAAAATATAGTTATGTGTATACGATTATCAATGATCCATGCATCATGTTATATAGCTAATATGAAATATGAATATACCTATCAGAGTGAATTTCACGAATATCCATTTCGATGAGAAAAGAGTTGTCTCTAATTTTATTCGCCATCGTGTATTCCACACCTGACCTATTTTCTAAATTAGAACCTAATCTAAATAAATTAATGGTTGACTTTATATCGGAAACGAAAATTTATACGACTCGTTATTCTATAGTAGTAGTAGTAGTATATAGGTGATCCCAATCGATACGTCGATAGTTGCATTTTTCTTTTCGATGTACTTTTATTTTTATCTTAGAATTTCTTACCGTCCTTTTTTTATTTTTGTTTTTGTTCTTTATTTTAATTTAATTACTTCTCATTTATTTGTAATTAGTCATAGACACACGTGTAAAGAAATAATCGATATTTTTATAAAAGTCTGAAACAAAATCAAAATATATATTCGTAATAAAATTCTAACAAATAACATATACCAGGTGTCTATAATTTTGAGTAAAAAATTAATATAGAATAAAATACGTATAGTAATGAAAACAAAAAGAAAGAAACAATTTCTTTTTTGGCACGCGCGTGTTATTTTAAAATAGTGCATAAAAACGGTATCTTATTTTATACACATAATATATATATATATATATATATATATATATTTTTTTTTTAATATTTTTTTTTTTAAAACTAGATGATAACTTATATTAAAAAATTTACTTTTTAAATGAAAGCAATTAACGAAATAAAAAAAATAGGTAACGCTTCATTTGGAACGTTTGCCGCGTTAAAAGTAAAACCCATTAAAGTTTATGGTTAAAATGCTTCGAATATATTTAAACGTCGGTATTTCATGATTTCTAACATTTAATAAGAATCAACGACTACCTCGAAGAACTATTTCACACAATCCTAAGAAATCCCCATCGTAAATCGTTAAAAGCGAAGGCAACCCATTCGCAATAAAAATGAAATTCGTCCCTTCCGTTATTTTCTTCATTTGTTCTATTCTTCACCACCAAAATATAAGACAAAACTCAAGAAAATGTAAACGGGTTCTTGCACGCAATGATCCGAATTTAATCACCTTTAATTATGTCTAATTGCCATAGTGATTTATATTCCTGATATCAAAGATAAAACAATCGATAATTTATTACTGCATGTATGTATAAAATTTTGATTTTATTTATATTAAAAGATACACTTACACAAGTAACGTTGTTTTTCTTTTAATTTTAAAAAACATCGCCATCTATCAACAATAATTTAACTTAATATTTTTTTGATAAAAATTTATTAAAATTGTAGAAAACTATTAAGTAAACTTACTTTTATATATTCTAATAGAATGCATCTAATTATTTATTTTTTTTCAATTTAACAATAAGGATACACATTAAATGTCAAAATATTTTACTAGGATTATGAGTAATGTGTAAACCCTGCTCTTCCTAATTATATAAATTCTTTTTATATGCATAACACACATGTTAACACATTTGTTTACTTTTACACAAAAATATTCATATATTTATTCTCGCGGTTTTTTTTCTATTTCCATACAAAAATTGATAATATATTTTTCTATAAGTATGCCAAGTTCATATAATGTTAATATATTTTTGTTTTGTTCTTTCTATGTGCAATTTTATGTGTTTATTCACGTTTATTAGGCAAGGGTATGTGCATTTACGTGTATGTGTTTGGAAAGATCGTAAACGCCTGAAGCAAATGTGCTGTATATATAATATATATACATATATCATTATACGGATATCAAGTTTACATAGAGAGAAAGAGAAAGGGTGAGATTGAAAGAGATAAGGGGGAAGGGGGTATCTTCCTAGAGGTATATAAGATACTGTATACCACGAATTACGTTTACTTTGACATCGATTAAGCCGCAAAACAGATACTGTTATCACCTTGGGAGAAATCATTTGATGGATTAGAAGTTAACACTTTGTTTGTTGGACCAAAGCTTGATTTTTATCTTATTGTGTTACATTTGGTTTCTTTTTTTTTTTTATAGTATCTACATACGCATGTAGTATTATCAGCAAAATTTCAATCCTTTCTGATTTTATAAAAAAAAAAAGGAAATTCTTAAGATAAAAATAAATTATTTCAAAGCCAAAATATTCTTTTTTTTTTTTTTTTTTTTTTAATTAAACATGAAAAAATTGTATTCCTGAGATTTCGAAGACGTCAATTTTATAATTATTGTACAATAATTAAATCATACGAATGGATTTTTCGATTCATTTAAATAATATAATTTTTTTTGTATAATTCACATAACGTATTAAATTACTTAATTATCGAACACGTATTTTATATTATATATGTAACCACAACCAAAAAAATCCAAACACAATGTAATAAATATCTATTGAACTCTTTTCGTTGAATAAATATCTTATTATTTTTTTCAAGAATTAACATTGACTGCGAGAAACGCATTGATTGCCTTTAAGTACATATGGGCTCTTGCATTTACACTTAGGTACGCAAACCTATAATAAAAATAATTAATTAATAAAGAATTGTTATCGTTAAAAAAAAAAAAAAAGAAAAAAATAGCTAGAATATTTGTAGATAAATTTAGATAAATTTACTTACTTGTATGCATGGTTGATTCGGTTTATTGATATTATCACAACTAGGATCACAAGGACTTCCACAATTAGTAAATTCCCCATTTGGTCCGCATTCGGATGCAAATACCATATCTTTAACATATGAATCATACATATATCGTATAGTTAACAAATGTGTGCCGAAATTCAAGATTTTCGAAAATAAATTTCTTAAATACGAGCATGATTTCGAGGTTTCAATATAAAATTACAAAACACTTTCATTTATTTGGTCAGTATTTAATAATTTTTCGTATAATATGAATATTTTGTTCAGTACACAAATAAAAATAAAATATAAATAATAAAATATTATACAATTCCGTGTGTCCATATTATAAATACTGAACGTCTAATTAAAATATTGATCACTGAATTAAAATTGTGACAATTTATTTCAAATATTTTATTGATCCAATAAATAACAATCATTACCAAATATATACAATATGAAATAAAAATAATATGTCAAATATAATATATAAGAAAATGCTTTTCGATTCGAACAAGATTTCACAAGTGTCTGGTAATTTTGATTAAAAAGCTTTTAAACAAAATTATTATAAAACTTACATGGTATTAAAAGACTCAAGAATAAAAATATCTTAAAAAATTGCGACATGACGTTATTAAGAATTGAATGATTGTATTACAAAATTGAAAGTTAACAATGAGACTGATAGAAACGTCGTTCACGAGCAACTATTTATATTCGCAGTGTTTTTTTTATCTCTGGGTATAACTTATCGCATATAGCTTAACCTTATACAACGTATTTAATAATATAATTTCAAAATAATAAGGCTCATAAATTATATTCGTTATTTATGATACGTAATACGGAAACGTTTTAACTTCGTAGATAACTTGAAATACACGTATTGTATTATATATTTATCATAAATGAAAAGTGTTACTTATTTTTTTTTTCCTATTTTTTAATGAATAGAACCATTTTGCAATAGTTATTTTAAAAAATAATTTGCTTATGCCTCATATCGCGTTTTTTTTTTCTTTTCGCAATTGATCCAATTTATAAAGTTTCAAGAATATGAAAGAACGTAATTAATCCTTTAGGTAGTTAATTTTCTTGAGCAATCAAATAAACTTTGATAAATTTATAGAAACGTAAATAGTAAAGGTTACAATGTAAATAAAGCATTAAACTAATGAACAAATTTTTACATTATTTTTATATCCCCTGTTCATTCTCGAAACGGGTACCACGTATTACGAAACACATGCTGCAATATATATATATATTTTTAAATTAAATTATACAAATTTGTGTGAATAAATAATCGAAGTAAATGTGTTAAAAATGAATTAAAAACATTGAAAAAAAGAGCGAACCATCTCATAAAACCAAAAAAAAGTCAATAAAATAAAAATATTTATTATTAAATATATAAATTTTTCTCGAAACAGATTTCAAATAATAAGAAAAAAACTCTTTTAATTGGAAGAGAAGAAAAAATAATAATTCAGTATCTTTAAGAACTCTAACACTGTTATTTCCTTTTTCGGATAAGACAACGAGCATGTTATTCGTTAAAACATTTTGATCGATATTGACAAGCTGTCTTATTGTTAGTTCGAAGTCTAAGCTCGTAGTAGCTCGATTAAACTTGGCAGCTGCATATACTCAAATGGAATCCTGAAACAAAGCCATTGACATACAATATGAGTGAATGAGTGAGAGTTGGTGTATATTTCTACGACACCCGTTACATTGCGTGCATCTAATGTTTGCATAGAAGGTTAATTTAATTTCCCGTTGGCACACCCTAACGTGTATACACGTGTTCTCATATATCAGTACGTGTATATATATTACATGTATATGTGCGTATTTGTACAGGCTGAACCAAAAATCTTATGATCACTTTTAAAATCATTTTTATATATATCATATTCCAAATTTTATAAATAAATATTAATTTTTCGAGACTTATATATATATATATATAATTTTATGATTTGAGAAACATAAAAATGTATTCTATGTATAATAACTGTTTTATTTGTAAAATAATTTAAAAACTTTGAATACATCGAAGAATTTTTAACTCACCCTGTATGTAACTTGAGAAGGATTGAGTGGAAATGAAAAAGTATATCTTTCAAATTCATTTTTTATTCAACGAAACATCAATCAAACGTTCTAATATTTTTCTTTGCTATTTTATATCATATTATTGAAGGATACTTTCATATTTCCTTTTTACTTGTTTTCATTTCTGATATATAATGTGTACAATATATGATAGTTTTTTTTTTTACATGTGTGCACGTATATGTGCGTAGGTGTACATTATTAGCGTTCGCACGTTTTATCTACGATCGTTATTTTTAAAACAGACACGTAACATCCTCGTCGACTTTTAGCACTTCTATAATAAACGTAGCACACTTGTATTATACTTCGAACCATCGATAATTATTATTAACGATAGCGTATATTTTTACAACAAGGTGTTGATGATATTTTAGAATGTCGGATCATTTTATTTAGGAGTTGCTCGATTTAGGATGAACGTGAATTTTTTTTCTTTTTATAGAATCGTTTCAATGAAAGGTAATTTCTTTCTTTTTTTTTTTTTAATGAAATTTAATGCATCCTTTTTTATCTGACATATTAATTAAAATTCATTAGAAAATATTTTGTGTGATCGAAATGAAAAAAATAATTTTATAAAGAAATTAGAAAAGATTTTCACGTTCGAGCAAAATATCCATTAGATAGTTATTATACGTTAATATATTTTAGAATATGTTGTTAAATATAATTAATAATTTATTAAATAAGTTATAAGTATTATCTTAATAAATATATTATAAATAATTGAATTATTTAACGAGCGTGTAATCTCAATACACGTAAATTGCAAATTTTAAATAAAATCATCGAGAGGTTTCCAAAATGATCATAGTAATTATAATAATAATAATAATAATTAAATATAAATGAGATACAATAAATGAGAATCATTTCGAAAATCTTTTTTTTTTTTTTCGTTTTACCTATAGAAAATTTGAAACGTAGAGTATCAAGTTAGTGATTAATGGAAGAAAATCGATTGAGCTCCTGTTGAGCAGCAAGTAATAATCGTTGAACGAGGGTACTATGAAGTAGTTATCGGTGCCATAATCGATGCTCGACCGTATTAATCGACTCTCAAACTCTACAAACGATAAAACAGTATAGTTAAAATACTATCTAAAAGTACTTTTTGATGTACTAATTACAATATATATATTCATATATTAAACATATGAATTAATTATGCTGCAATAGTATTAAAATATTTGGAATATTAAATTTAATATATATGAATAAAAACTATAATACATCAATAATATTAAATTTATCGAGAGTTTATTTTGAAATTATCATATTTCATGCTCATTTATGGTAATAAATAAATAGACGAATGGGCTACGATATTAGTAATCGAATTTTCTGGTGATTTGACACACAAGAATGAAAGCTAAAATTCGTGAGATTGATTCTAACACTTTCTCTCTCTCTCCTTCTCTCATTCTAACGCTTGACTAAACTTAGCACGTGCTCAATCGAGGGTGTCGAGTAGTGACTGCTTAAGGGATGAAGCAGGTTGACTGACAAGCATGGTACCCATGTAAGCACGCATTTATACGCTAATGTTAGCACGATCTATCGCTTTTGTGTTTACTTTGACTACCAGTTGCTATCTGCCTATCGGTTATTACCTAAACTCTGATAAATGTTACCACCAAAAACATACAACTTGATTTTTCTTTAACATTATATAATACACACAATACATACACTCATATATATATATATTGCTAATTCTATACAATCATGCATGATTTTTACTTGAATGTAAAGTAAAGTAAAATTTGACAATTCAAATTATTTGACAATATAAATATTGTGCGAACAAATGTTAATAATATTTATCACAATTTTGTTTCGACTTATTTGTTTGATAGCAAAAAAGTACAAAAAAAATAAATTAATTTTCAATATCAACTATATAAAACAAATAAATGTTTTTTGTGTTTCTCACATCTTTGTATTTATTTTTAATTATTATTATCAGATAACTGAAAGGCATCTTATTTTTTTTTTACTATTCAACTCGTTGATTGAAAAACTTGAAATAAGAAAGTTGAAGGTTTACTTTGTGTGATATATATATATATAAAATTAATTTAAAAAGAAAAAAAAAGAAAAAAGATGTACTTCTTTAATCGTAAAGAAGGAAATTAATCTTATTGTAAAGATCAAAGTGAAACTTAATTGACAAAAGCTTAGTTCGATTTGCGAGGACACGTTCGGGAAACTCAACAAGTAGTCAGCAAAACGAGTAGAGAGTTAGTTGCTCTTTATACGAAAGACGCTTAAAGCTTGTCTGCATCAGACGAGGAGGAGCTTGGGTCTGTATAACCCTCGTTTACAAATTGAAACCAAATTTCTGTCTCATCAATCTTCTTGAGTAAGATCATTTATCAACATGTTTTGACTTAAGTGAGAACTTACTAACATAAAAATAAATGTCTCTATTTGTCTTATTTTTTTTTATTATTATTATTATTATAATAGATATATAAAAAATACAAAGAGAGAAATTTTACAAGTGTCATAATAAAAAAAAAACATACATTTTGTCTTATCTTAATAGAAAAATGTTTTGCATAATGTTACATTTTTGTTTTTAAATAAATTGTTTATAATTTGTTCGAAAAAATAATTTAGGAACTTTTATTAAAAATAAAATGAGAAAATATATGAGAAATTCCATCGAAAAGGAATTATTTCATAAGAATTATTATGGAAAAAAAAGAAAAATTAATTTAACACGAAATGTGTGTGTACTTTAAAACATAGTGCAATTTATAAAATCATAAATAATATAGATAATTAGGATTTGTAGATTGAAATGTTACACCCAGTAGATATTGAGTTTAATAAGATAAGAGTAAGTAAGCCGAAGATATGCTTGTACTACTTAAAGTTCGCCTAACCACAAACCATTACTACTTGTTGCAGTCCATCAGGTAGTAGAATCCATCCTGTTCCACCAACTTCTCTTGTAAGACTAATTGGTACAAGCAATATTATCTCGGACGTCCCTTAATTTCAACTTATTATACTCCAAGCAAATTAAACAATCGTATAAACTTTATTATTAATCGTCTTTTCTAATCATATTTAACCATCCCCTCTAAAATGCACATGAACACACTCACATAACTTTTCTTATATAAAAAAAATACATAAAATAAAATTTATTTTTTATTTATATTTTTTTCAATTAAAAAAAAAACGCGTTATGTATAAAAATATAATTTTATTTATAAATTATACCTTACGTGGGGTATAATTAATTTAACGTTTATGTCATTTTATTTATAATATATGCACACGTTATTCGTGTATATGTAGTATGCATTAGTATTATATATATATTCTTATTAATTTATT